GCCACGCCCATTGCAGCACGTGGTATCCCGGGGGCTGCTCACCTCGCTGGCTCCTGGAGCTGTTTGCCAAAGAGTTTTTCCCTTCCTCATTCGCCAGTACTGAGTCCAAGAGCCACTCAGCCCAACAGAGCCCTGTCCAGTTCAGTGCCTGGGCTCTGGGACCTCCGTGACAACCTCATCCCAACTCCACATACGCAGACCCAACCTAACCTCCATTAGCTCCAAAATCCCTGCTCCTGGGTCCCGGTGATGTGACTCCACTTCTCTCCCTAGCTAAGGTTAGGTGACTGAGGGCTGGAGCTGTCCGGTTTTCTCGCATTTTCCACCAAACTGGGAGCTGTTTCTGCAGCCTGAGGAAGCATCAATAAATATTTGAGAAATTAATCCAGGTTCCTGGCTCTGGTGAGATCTTCTATGCTTTATCCCAGGTGTCCTAGTTTAATCCCTACAAAGGACCCCTGACCTCTCTCAGTGACCTCTTGGCCTTTGGTGGGTAACTTGCACTGGGTCAGGAGGGCTTGAAGACAGGGGCAGTTTCCCATGCTACACCACTACTTCCTCAGTCCCTCGCATGGGCTTGGCTCAAAGGTGCTGGGGACACAGAAATGGGTCAGAGGCAGTTATTTCCCCTGGCACCTCTGTATTCTGGTCTAGCTGGGCACAGGAACCAAGTGACCAGTAATTTAATGGAGGAAAGCATGGCAAGGACACCTGATAAATTAAGAGGGACCGCCTTTTTCCCTGGGGAGATGGACTGTCCTGAGATACTGCAGTGGTGGCACCCGTCCTTGAGAAGACTGTCACCCCGTCGTGGAGATTATGGGCATCATGAGACAAGCCCTTGAGGCAGGTGGGGGACAGCGTGCCCTAACGGAATGAGCAGGTCCCTTCTGCTCCATGCATCTAGGGTCTGTGATCATTGGATGGGTAGGTCAGGAAATACATTCCAGAGAAGGCGGTGGATTTTCCAAGGGATAATGGAATTTGAGTAGATGAAGCTGAGAAGGTAGGACTTTGGAGGCAGAAGGCCCAGGAAGACAAAGACTGAGAGAGTGGGCGTAGTGGTGCATGCTTGTAGTCCCAGCTACTCAGGAGGCAGAGGTGAGAGAATCACTTAAGGCTAGGAGTTTGGGAATGCAGTGAGCAATGATCACGCCTGTTTGTAGAGTCACTGTACTCCATTCTGGGCAATGCAATGAGACCATGTCTCAAAAAAAAAAAAGAAAAAGAAAAAAAAGCAAGACTCAGAGGTTGGAAGGTATACAGATGGCTGAATTCACACAGGGGTGTATGTTACATAGAACCTGGCTTTCTCAACCAGGGACTTTTGATCTGAATTCACCCTACATTCCCAGTTACTTGCTTCCATCAGGGAGAGTTAGGGGGTCTCCAAGAATTTCCTATGAAGACAGGTTCAACAGAGGAGTGACAGGTTGGCAGCTTTTAGTTCTGTGCAGAACTGAGTCTAGAACTACACACTTCTGGGAGCCCCCAGGGCTGCCAGACTGTATAACAGCATCAGCTGAGCTGGAAATAGAAGGAACACCATCACATCCCCCCACCAGGTGGAAATCTTCATCACTGTAACCTGTCAACTCCCAGTCCTCTGATCCTTCTACACCTGCAGTCTAGAGCAGGCACTGGGCAAGTCCAGGAGCTCATTGACTTACCTATTGGACTGACTGCAAGGCTGCTGGACTTCCAGACACAGTTGGCTTGGAGGAGGGTTTGAGTTTCCCACCACTACTGTAATGGGTTTCACTGACCGAAAATCAAGGTCTAGGGATGTATTAGTCCGTTTTCATGCTTCGAACAAAGACATACCTGAGACTGGGTAAGTTATAAAGGAAAGAGGTTTAATGGACTCGCAGTTCCACATGGCTGGGGAGGCCTCACAATCATGGCGGAAAGCAAAGGAAGAGCAAAGGCACGTCTTACATGGCTGCAGGTAAGAGAACTTGTGCAGGGGAACTCACATTTGTAAAACCATCAGATCTCAAGAGACTTATACACTACCACAAGAACAGTATAGGGGAAACCGCCCACATAATTCAATTATCTCCACCTGGCCCCACCCTTGAGACATGGGGACTATTACAATTCAAGGTGAGACTTGGGTAGGCACACAGCCAAACCTATCAAATGGAAAATGTTTCTTTGCCTTTTCCAGCTTCTAGAGCTGTTACCCTCATGTTTCTTGCTCCTGGACTCTTCTTCCGTCTTCAAAGGCAGTAGCATTTAGCTTCAGCCATGGCAATGACTTCTGTGTCAAATCTCTCTCTGCATCCCCCTCACAATCACCTTTTTTTTTGGAGACAAGGTCTTGCTCTGTCGCCTAGGCTGGAGTGCAGTGGCACAATCATAGCTCACTGCAGCCTAGACCTCCTGGGTTCAGGAAATCCTCCCACCTAGCCTCCCCAGTAGCTAAGACTATAGGCACGCACTGCCACACCCAGCTAATTTGTCAGATTTTTTTGTAGAGATGGGATCTCACTATGCTGCTCAGGCTGGTCTGCCTCCTTCTTATATGAACCCTTGAGATTGCATTTAGGGCCTGCCCTGATAATCCAGGATGATATCCTGTGGTTCTTTTTTTTTGTTTTTGTTTTTAGGCAGGATCTCACTTTGTCACCTGGGCTGGAGTGCAGTACCATGAACCATGAACACAGCTCACAGCAGCCTTGACCTTCCAGGTTCAAGAAATCCTCTGGGCTTAAGCAATCCTCCCGCCTCAGCCTCCCAAGTAGCTGGGACTACAGGCATGTGCCACCATGGCTGGCTAATTTTTTTACTTTTTGTAGAGAAGTGGTCTCACTATGCTGGTCTCAAACTCCTGAGCTCAAGTAATCTGCCTATCTTGGCCTCCTGAAGTGCTGGGATTACAGGCATGAGCCACTGCTCCCAGCATCCTATAATTCTAAATGCAATTCTGCCACTATTCACCCAGATAGTGCAGACTCCACCCACAGGTTAAGGACCCAGTCCCCATCAAGACTGTTCTCATTTCAGATACCAGCTGCAAGTTTGGGGACCCCAGCCACCCACAGTTCTGATCAACTGCCTACAAATTCTCTTGATCCCTTCAGGTTCCATAATTTGCTAGAATGACTCCCAGAACTTAGGAAAATGCTATACTTAGGATTTCAGTTTTCTTAAAAGGATACAGATCAGCACCTGCCAAATGAGGAGGTTCATAGGGCGAGGTCTGGGAAGGTCCCAAATCCAAACACAGAGCTCCTGTGTCCTTGCCCATAACATCAGTACATATCAATCTCTATGCCTTCCCCCATCCTAGGTCGAGTGTTCACCAGCTAGGAAGCTCCACTGATCTTGGTGTCCTGAATTTTTATTGGAGTTTCAGTATGTAGGCAGGATTGATCCAATTACCGCCTCGGTGTTTCAGGTTTTTTTTTTTTTTTTTTTTTTTTTTTTTT